TTGCACTGTACAGATTTAGCTTTGGATCCTGATACACACAACTCAACTTAAAAGACACACAAACAGAAGAGAACCTATTAAGCATCTATATCCACAGCACTGCTTTACACATGGAAGATATTTTTTCTGGAACAGCAAAACAATGTGCATTTATTAAATGCACAGTATTCTCAAGCCTTTTGTGGGACTTTCCATTCAAAACCATTTAAAAGCAGCAGTCATCTAACTCAGAAAATATCTGCTTGAAAAACCTGCAGTTTTTATTTTACAGCTAGAAGATCCCTTAGAGCTATTATAAATTTAAAACCTGAGGACCAAAAACTGTGGCCCAAGGGCACAGAGGCCAGAGAGCAAGCTTAGAACCAGACCCCAAGTATCCTGACTCCCTGTCCACTGCTCTTTTCTGTATCATTACACACCATCTCGAACAGCCTACAGTGGAATAAAGAAGCATTTCCCAGATCAGGGGAAAAAAGATACGCCATGCTGATAAACTCTAACTGACTGAAAAGAGTGTGTGTGTGTGTGCGCGCGCGCGCGTGTGTGTTTGTGTGTGTAAACACTGAGACCCCAACTAAAAATAGACAAATTAACTGGACAATTCACACACGAAAATGTAAACATCTAATAAACACATGGGGATCCAGCCTAAGGAAAATTTTTAAAAATAGGGCAAAGATTTACACATGAAACTTCTATCATAACTTTATTCAAAGGAGTAAAAAATGGAAACAACTTACATGTCCAACAGTAGGAGCAATCGATTACATAAATTCACACACCATCACCTGAGAGAATATTATGCAAGCATTCAACATATGTGTATTTTTTTACTTTCTGGGGAAAAGACCAAGATTTATTATTAAAAGAAAAAAAAATCCACAAAAACATATCTATAAAATGTCTTTGTATAGGTAAAAATACCCATCTTAATATATATACACAGAAAAGATTCATATTAAACCATATGAAGTTATTGTTTTATATATCAAATATGACTGAATAGTGGCCATTTCTTTTTAAAATATTAATTATGTGCTACAATGAATATTACTTTTATAATCAGATAACAAAAAAAAGGTAAATGCTTAAAAGAAAAAAGTCTGTCAGCTGCTTTTTCACAAAAGGGCTCAAAAGTTCCTGACCTATAAATGTTCTAAGTGGGTACAGAACAGGTTAAAAAGGGCCTTCCTTCCAGTCTCTGCCTTCGTAACAAAGGCTGGCAATGTAAGCAGGGCTAGAAGAGGACCCCTCGTAGATGGCCGCTGTCCCAGTGGCCTGTGGCAGGTGTATTGGCCATGTCCTTTGTGGCTGGAAGCTGCAGACTCAGGGCAGTACCAGCTGCGTCAAGGCATCAACTAGCAAGTCTCCACGGACTGCCTCAGCCCACCCCTACCGGGACTGGTGCGAGCACACACAAGGGCACCACGCAGCCCCTGTCGTATCTAGAGTGCACTGGCTCTCAACTCTTTCGGGTCAAGGGTCCCTTGGAGAATTAGTTGAAAGCTGAATCAACATTCTACACAGAATAGATGCCCTCCTATCAGAAAACTCCAGATTAAGAACTCTCAAAGTTTTAACACACAGGAAACATACTGACTATTAAATGTTAGAGTGTTCAGGCATCAGAGTAGGTGAGGTGTGAGTCATTTTAAAGAATGAATAAAATTTGGAAACAGAAAGCTGTGAGGTGTCATTAATGCAGACATTAAAAGTCAGCCTCCAGATATTTTAACATGCAAACATTAATCCAATTTTAATGTTAAAAGCAGAAAACAAAACTGTACAACACATGTTCTTGTATTTGTTACTTACTGCAACAGTCTGCAATAGCAATAGACTAGAAACAAACTAAATGCCCATCAACAGGGGACTCATCCAAGGAAATCATGGTACTACACAGCCATATAAGAAAGCAGAGTGGCACCTGCTATAAAAATATGGCACACTCTCCAGAATATACAGTGCAATTAAACACACTACCACTTGTGTAAAAGGGGGGAAGAGAAGACACACACACAAAATATGGACAGATGGATATTTCTGCTTGTACACACAGAATCTCTCTGAAGGCCACCCAGCTGATAACACTGGTTACTTCTGGGTGGGGGAACTGGGTGGCAAGCAGATGAGCTTACTTTTCACTGTTCATCTCTTTGTTTCTTTTACATTTTAAACCACTTTGAGACCTTAAGTTAGTCAAAAAATAGTGTGAATACAGTATGTCAATCATGTTTTGAACTTATGGAAAATACAAAGTACAGCTAAGAAGAGTAATCTTGGGCAAGCTGCTTAACCTCTCTATCTCAGTTTATAAAAGGGGATGACAGTCCTTACCTTCCAGATTATACATAAATAAGTAACATATAAGTAAAGCATTTTGGAGAGTACCTGGTCTATGATAAGAGCTCAAAAAATAAAACCAGAATTGGGGGGGGGAAATATAGCTAAAAGAGATAACAATAACTATCACTAACTTGTGACAACACAGAAGATTATGATTTTCTTCTTAATATGTTTCTATAACAAAGACCTAACTACTTATAATCAGAAGAAAATAAGTTTATTGTCTTTTGTTTTGCTTTAATTAATGCAAAGAAAAATCAAGGAGGTGCTTGAAGAGTGAGGCAAAAAAATTTAAAGCGATACTTCAGCAGAGGAGCTACTCAAAAAAAAAAAAAAAGTTTTTTTCTAAAGGCTGCAGACTATCTTGGTAAAATGAGAGTAGTGGGTGTGAGGGCCCTGGAGGGAACCTAGGGCCCGGTTAGGAGGCCACTGTGGCAGCAACCTGCAAACTAAGGAGCTAGAGCCTGCAGAAGACATAGAACTTTGTGAATAGCCTCAAAAGATGCTTCTCAGGCCTGTGAACCTGGAAGTATGGTGGAATCACGGCCCAAAATACAGTGTCTGGAAAAGGGAGCCAACATGAGGAGAAAAACAAAGTCAGAGGTGTCACATTCTCAGAGTTGCTCTGGGAGCAAAACTGACAAACTGTTTTATTCACGCTCGAGGGCTGGCGGGGCTGCACAATAAGCAGAGGGAAAAGGAAATCTAGCATTGGCCTGCGAGCATCTGAACACCTCTCCTTTCTGTACAGCACAGGAACTATGAAGGAGACCAGGCTGGAGGGGAGAAGACAAGAAGTCAAGGGGGACCCAGGAACATTCAATGAGGGCCACTCCACACGTTCAGAGCACCGTGCTAGGCCCATGGAAAAGTGCAGAGGGACCAGAAAGCAACCAGCATCCCCTCTTTGACACAAGCAATCCCTCATCAGAACCACTATCTTTCCAAAATACTTGATGACTAACTCTTTCAGAACAGAGAGACTAGAGAATGTAATGAATCTTGAAACAACCAGCCAACTCTATCACTGAAAGCTACCCTCACCTTATCTCACTACAAGAGCCAAGCAAAGGCTCGTTTCACTGTTAGGGGCAGCGAGCCCACAATGCTGACAAACAGCCATTTCACAGGCAGCCAGCACATTAATAGTGTAGCACCTCAGAGCTTTGCCCTCTCAAGGGAAAAAACCTATTCATCCCTCTTAGAGCTTGTGTTTAGTAGAGAATTCGGTCTGCGTGACCCTCTGCTCATCAGAGGGAAGATCAAGACGACCAGGCACTAGTGTTAAAGGCTACTGGGATTCTCCTTGGGCCTCAGTCAACTGAAGGATCTGCGGAGTCTCACTCTCTGACTCCAATCCCCTGGCAGCAGATCTTCTTCAGGGACAATGTCTGTAGCTCATCCAGTGTGGTCTCATACTGGAAGCCAAGACCCCATTTTCTAAACACCAATATGAAACACAGTGCAACATTCTGCGTACTCTGAGAAAAGTCCTACACGGCACACACGAGAACTAGCAATGAATGAACGTTTGTTTACAAATCAAAATGTTCTGCACTTGCCACTTTTTACTGGGGAAAAGTACTTTATCTAGGACAAGAAAAATGCAGGTAGCAAGCAAACTTAAAAATCTTCACAAATTTTTAATGAGACAGTATCATTATAATTCATTATATGTAATTTACATTTGTTTAGCTCTTCAAATGATTCTTTTAAAAAGATATAGTATGTATATAGCAAAAAGTGTGTGGGCCATGCACTGAAGCCTCTTCGTGCCCAGTCCTGACTATCAATGACAGGCCCTGCCCCAGTGAGATAAATCTGGAGCCAGATCAGCACATGTATACCTTATTTACACATGGAAAAGAGATCTCATTTCCGAATTAACTAAGTAAAATACACTTTGGAGTATATTTATAGAAAGAGGTAAATTTTAGGGAGAAATTGCTGGTGAGAAAGCTGGCTCCAATGAAAACTAAGGTGACCTCATCCCCACATTAGTCATTAATCACGCGGCAAACATTGCTTTAAAAGCCTTGAACAAATGCGGACGTGGTGATGAAACTGAGGAAATTAATAAAAAGCAGGGGGAAAGCAGCAGAGATTTACCAGTGCCTACGACAAACAAAGTAACTGATGTTTAATAAGTATGACTCTTGGGCACCACTGTCTCACTGTACAACTCCACATCAGGCCTCTCTCTGACTATCTATAAAACTGAGATTCAATCTCACAGCGGAAATAAGAAGTCAAGCAAATGAAACTAAGACCAAGACTAAGCCCCAGCTATAAAATAAGGAAGTACAAAAGCTGAATTTAAAAAAATTTTCATAGAAATGAAAGCAATAATTTAAGTCAATCCAAATGGCACTAGTTGGTAAAAGAAAAGTTTGGAGAGCAAGGTACAGGGATTGAAGAATGTGAGCTCTTGACTGAACAAAACTTCAAGCCTCAAATCTGTTCTTGGTCATATAACTCTGTACTTGCTACTCAGTTTCTCTAAGCCTGTTTCCTCATTGTAAAATGAGGTTAATAAATATCCCTACCATGCAGAGGTATAGTGATAATAAAATGAAGAAATACCTGAAAAGTATTTACATACACTTGGCACACGAGTTCAATTAAATGACTGTTATTCTAATTACTAGGAGAAGCTGAATGTTCTAATTCTCTATCCAAAGAACAAGAATTTAAGTAGCACCAGGATATACAGGTCACCCTTCTTCTGGTATATTCTTGACCTCACCTCCTGTCTATGGCAAATCCAGTTTTGATAACTCTACATGGTACATTCTTTTTATGTCAGGACAGTCAGGGGCAGTCAGCAGACCTCACAAAAGGTTGAGACAGGAACTCTTTGGAGGAAGTAGAAATTGACAACATTTTTATGAAAAATAATTACCTAGAGCCTAAAGTTTATACCCTTTGATCTAGTAATTCCATCCCTAGGAATCACTGGGAAATAGAGATAAAATTTATGGTAAAGGATACCACACCTAGCCATTATTCACAATGGAAAAGTTAGAAATAACCTAGATGTCCAAAAACTGGCAAGATATTAAATAACTCCACCATATCCACAGAAAGAAATAGTATACAGCCATTACACAGAAGTATTTCCAAGATAGTGGAGGACACTAGAGAATATCCACAATATAATGTAAAGTGAAAAAAGCTGGAATATATACAAATATATGTGTGCACAGAAAAGTGAAAGAAAACATCCAAATAGTGGCTCTCTCTGAATAATGAAACTACTGGCATTTTTTATTTCTTCTCTAGTTTTCTAAAAGTTATACAATTAGTGTAATTGTTTTAAATCATCACCTCTCTGCCAGATTCTTATTAAGTAGTAGTTCACTAAAATTGTGGGTGAAATGGTACAACTTGCGTAACTTTGGTCCTGTGCTACTTGGGAGTAAGAAAAGCCACTGATAAACTAATACAGAACTAGAACAATTACAATTATTCTCTCAAATAAAGCATTTCAAATTTGGATGAGCAAGAGGGCAGACAGAGAAGCTGGAGCTAAGCTGCAGGCCTCAGAATGCAGCCTCTACAGCCAGACAGTGGAAAGGCAGTCCTTTTCAGAAGTGGAACCAGGGCAGGGCTGAAAGAAATGGGGCAGCTCTAACATCAAACCCAAACCTGTCTGTGGCTTTTGCAGATACAGGCCTGTGCTTCCGTGAAGGACCTGCAGTCTCTCCTGGAAAAGGGGCCTACTGGATTTCTCTTACCTGAGCACAACTGTTCGATCTTTGTCAGATTCAACTGCAGAGACTCATTGATCCAGGCCAGCATGTCATGTCGACTTAGGTTATCGCTGGTGACCGACGTTGAGTACACGTTCACTGCCATCTTCTACAGCATGCGAAGAAATGAGAAAGGCTCACATTATTAGGTAGCAAGAAAGAACCAATGTCTCCTGAAGCCACTCATAACAGATCTGTGGGAGCCTCACCTTCCTCCCCAACAGGCCAAATCAGAGACACTCAGATTCCAACCATGAGCCTGGATTTCCATGCATAAACATGACCTGAAATGAACTGCCCAACACCAGCAAGCCTTAAATTCAGGCCCCATCTTAATGTGATTGGTATAAAATTTTAAGCTACAAGAGACACTAAGTAAAGGGATGATAAAGTGCTTTATGAAGGGAGGCTGATGCACAAGAATATTCTCAGCTTAGAAAATGTCAATCGAAGTTTATCTATTAACATATCAAAATGTTTACACCAGTTTCCTTCAGATGGTGGGCTTTTATTAATTTCTCTTTACAGTTTCCACTATAAAGGTTCCAAATTTTCTTTAAAGATTATGTCTATTTTTATAATCAAGAAGAAAATAAGCTTTTCAACAACCTAAGTACCACAAAGGTGGTGGCAAATGACCTCACAATGAAGAGCCCTTGGTAACCAATTCTCTGTTGAGCCTCCTGAAGACAGGAGAGCAGCTGAGGGCCTACTAAGCACCAGAAGCTTCCCAGACATTTATCACTTAACCCAACAATCCGTTGTGAGGCTCACTTCATTCTCATTTTACAGATGAGGAAAGAGAGGCTCAACACAAAAGCCTTGAGAACCAGTGCCAAGTCCACCCAACCCCACCATCCACATTCTTTTCTCTCCCCTAGAAAAGGCTGTCCCTCACCTTTCTGCCAGGCTTCCAAATTCCAAACAATACACAGAAACATATTAAGCTAAAATATTTATGAAGCACTGCTCTAGGGAGCAGGAAACAAGTAAGGAGAGACAAGCTGTCTGTCGGCAGGGAGCGCACTATCTAGTAGTGCAACTTCAACACTGACCAAACACATAAATGTCATTTCATATCGGCCATTCAGGCAATGGGGGTGGAGGGAAATGTGGTCAGGAAAAGCCTCTCTCCAAGTTAACATTTGAGCTTAAGAATCAGAAGGAAGCAGCCACGCGGAGATCTGGAAGAAGGGTGGCTATAGCCCAGTGAGCAGGAGGGAGAGCAGCAAAAGAAGTGAGAAAAGAAGCGAAGAAGCCAGGTCACGTTACAACCCTGCAGGCCATGGCAAGAAGTTCAGACCTTCTTCTTTAACTGTAAATCCCCACTGTTGTGGGGATTTAAGTGGGGCAGAATCACACTCTCACTGAAGTTTGAAAAAGATCACCCTGATTGCTGGCAGAGAACAGACAGTGGGAAGGGAAGACTCAGGCAATATGAGATAAGGGCAGGTTTATCCAGAGCTAAATGAAATCCCTGGGCCAATTACCATGAAGATACATGACTATAAAACACTAAATTTCAGTAAATCTTGACACATAATTTTTCTCATTTCATGTAACATCAGTATTACCAATGGGGGAAAAAACTCAGAGCTAAAGTGGTACCACCATGGGACCCCATGCTCTCTTACTTCTCTCCTCCAGTGACTAGCTAGTCCTCCCACCTATCTCCTGCAAGCCTCTGCCTCCCGAGTCATATGGCTGCAGAAAGTGAGGGCTGCTAAAGACAGATATCTACCCATTCAATCCCTTTTTACGAACACGGGTGACTGAGGTCTGGAGATATAAATGACTTATCAGGTCTGTGCCCTCCAGCCCCACATTCACCGTCCCCCACAGCACTTGGCATAGTGCCTTGCACACTGTGGGCTCAATAAATGCTACTTGTTTTCAGATTGGCAGGACAGTGTCAAAGAGAGAAAAATGCTTCTATATAAACTTTTTTCAGAAAGCAAAGTATCAACACTCTTACATTAAACTCAGATGATAAAACCATGTTATACAAGGAGCCAACACAATTTAGCTCCTGACTCCTCTGGGAAATTAATCCCTATGTTCCTACAGTACTTCATTCAAACCTCTGCAATTGTCATTATCTCTTCATTTCTGAATCATTCCCAGATGAGACCTGGACAGGCAGGCAATTTGCTCTATGCAAAGAGCTGAGAATTTTAAGCTTGGGTTTCGCATTAAACAAGCAAAGTCCAGGGAAGGGAGGGACCCTGTCCCACTCATTCTCCCAACTCCATTGTCAAAAACAGTGTGGAGACCTGCCGCCACCATCTCTCACCCCATTCTCTGCAACAGCCATCAAATTAGCCTCTGTCTCAATCTATTTCCACAGCAGCAGGGAGAATATTCTGAATCACAAATCAGATCAAGTGTCTCCCCTGTTCAAAATCCCTGAATGAAAGAATAAATGAATTGCACACTGGGTGCAAAATGCTATTATCAGGTACCAAGGAGAGAGACATCCAAATAAAAACCACAGACCCAGACTGAGCACTTGTAATCTATTTTGGCAACATTCATACATACATCGGGTATTGTGTGTGTCCTGCTGCCATAAAATGTAAGCAGCTGGTTAAGCCACGTGTGTCTCCTGACCACACCCCAGCTCAGAAAACGTTAGTGGCCTTTCATCATGATATAATTTAAAACTCTTTCATTAGCAGTACATTAATACCTGGTCCCATGTGCTCTGCAGACTCTGCAACCACTAAATACATGGGGTTAGGCACCCTGTGGATGTGCAATAAACATCCACTGACTCAACCACTTAATTAGCTCTTCCATGCAGTCAAAACAGAGCCCAGTTCTCAGAGCCTCAGCTACAGCTAGCGACAGCTCACTCCTCCTCCACGAGGATTCCACTGCTTGGCCTCAGTGGAAGACCCCAGAACCACCACGCAAACCTCACACCCCCCACCCCCACCAAAGGTTCCTTGATCCAGATTTCAATAGCCCTGAAAAAGCTCCCCCTAGCTTCTCCAGGTATCTCTCTTCCCTCTGCAGTTCTTCTAGCAAGCTCCCAAACCCATTCTGACTCACTGCTGGCTGATGAGCAACTATTTACGTCCAAGGCGCCACACTGAGCCCTATGGAAAGAGCAGGAGGAAAGTGCCACCAGAAAAAGAAAAAAAAAAAAAGGCAATGTGACCCTAGGTACTTCACCTTCCTGGATCACAAACAGCTCACCTGTAAAAGGTGAACAACATCTTCTGCACAAGGCAGTGGTGAGACTCTAAGTGAGAAAACACTTCAGTGAAAAGCACAGCATGTCCTAAGCTTCCCTATGTGCCAGAAACCTCTACACACTGTGACACACCACGACAAAGGGCACATTAGATGAAATACGTTCTCTAGACTGAAACTCAGGGAGGCAGCGTAATGCAGAAGTTAAGAGCCTGGTCTCAAGAGTCAGACATGGGTTCAGCCACTTGCTGGACAGCATAAAGCAAATTACCTCCCAGAGTCTCAGTCCCCTAATTAGCTAAATGAAGATAATAACTCCTAGAGACAATGTGATATTAAATAACACAATGCCACATCAAGCATTTAACACAATGCCTGGCACATAGCAAGTGCCTAATTACCTGCTACTATCCTTACTACTCTCAGAGATACCCCATTAGAGGTGGCTGGCAGGCCTGGTGTACCTTTCTTCAATGGTCTTCAGGATCCTCATGTCCAAAACGGGATAGAGGCCAAACTCTGCCCTGCAGCTGCCCAGGCCAACTGTGAAGCTGGTACTGAAAAAGCATTGTTCCTATCACCCAGTTATATTGTCTTCCTAGTAACTATATGAAATTATCTCTTCCACGTATTTTCTTATTTCCTGTCTCTCCACCATAATGCAGACTCCTGCCTGCTCCCAGGTGTACAGCCTGCGCTTAGCACAGTGCCCAGCACCTAGTGGGCCCTACACAAACACCTGATGAAGGAAGGACTCCATTGAGTGGGCGTGCTTTTTGCTATGCATCGCGACAAGAGCTTTCTGTATGTAGTACTATCTTTGTCCTCCGTTTTACACATAAGGAAATTGAGGCCCAGAGAAGTTAAAGCACCTGCCCAAGGCCGCACAGCAGGGACTCCAGGTTTGAACCCGAAACCCTAACTCTTAACCATCAGGCGACACCGTCCCTTACATTGGGGGTCCTCAGGGCTCCCAGCAGGACCCCCCTCAACCACACACATGCCCTCTACCCGGCCCGGCCACCCAAGAACCTCCTGCCACCAACATCTGGGTTCCACAACTCGGCCGCGGCCCATAAGCCCCCACGCCGCCGAGGGGCAGCCCCCACTTCCGGCCAGAGGCCCCGCCCCCACGGCAGAGCGGAGCGCGCGCCCCCAGCCCAGCCCGCGCGCGCCGGGTCACGGCACCGCCCTTCCCCCACCCGGCCGAACCGCACGGCCGTGAGGAGCGGCCCGGCCACCCCCGCAGTGCCTGCACGGCCCGCCGGCGCCTGCCCAGCCCGAGGCCCGCCAGGCCGCCCCCTGGCCGCCGCCCCGTGCCCGCTGGCCGGCTCACCAGCTCTCGGCTGGACGGCGTCCGCTGCCCCTAACCGGCTCCGGTTCCGTCTTCGTCTCGTTCAAACCGCCCGACCCCGCCCGCCGCCCGCGCGATGACCTCACACGCACCCCACCCGGCTACGCGCCGACGTAAAGGCTCGTCATTGCCCGCCTGCTCCTTTTATAGAGAGAGGGACTAAACCGCGAGCTGGGGGCGGAGCCCGATACTTGATCGACGGCTGAGGTGCCCAAGGGGCGGGGCGCCGGCTGCCGGGGCTGTGCGGCACGTGGCCTGCCTCAGCCAATGAGATCCCTCCTTGGGCCATTGTGACTCCGCCTAGAAGGCGGGATCCAGTTACAAATTCTCCACCTTAGTAGCCAAAAAAATTGGTTTTACAATGACTTTATATAAAAATGGGAAATTGGATTTAAAAAAAATTGATAGGAGCTTTGAAGAAGGACCCACCTCAGAGACACATTCTGTAACTATCTATAATGACCCTGTAATCTCATATTTTTTTCTGAGTACCGGTATGGTCATCTTACTTGTTTATGCCTTTATTGTCTGCCTTTACATAAATTTCACAGAAACAAGGATCTTCTCAATTCTTTTCCCGCTGTTTCCCAGAGCCTGATACATAGGTTCTCCGTAGAGACTTATGGAAAGGATGAATTATACCCACTTTACAGAAGAGGAAACGGGCTCAGAGAGATCAATTGCCCAGCATCACAAAAGATGATCTGTTTCGAGCTGATTTCCTTATCCAGATAACATGTATTCATGTATTCAACAAACATGTATTTTCACTGATCAATTATGACCTAGGGATTTAACGGTGAGCAAGAATCAGACATAGCCTCTGAGCTCTTTAAAATTTCCAGTCTAGCAGGGAAGGCAGAGCACATAACTCATCACATAAATCACTGTTAAATTACAAACCACATGTAGGGCTAGGCAGGAGCAGAATGTGGCAGGAGTGATGGCAACTTCACTGCATGGGGTAGGATCCTGGTGGCCCCTTCTGGGCTGGGTTTCACCCAGTTAGTTGCAGAAGCAGAGGGAGATGTTCAGGGAGGAATGTGGTGGGGAGATGGGGCAGGAGCTACTTATCAACCAGCCTGGAGGCACTTCAATATTTTAAGCCAGTACTGCTGGTTTGCCTCTCTGGTACGCAGTGGTTCAAGAGTATAGCACCAGGAGACCTTACCTCACCTGAGCAATGTGGGAAGACTTCCCAGAGATGACACTTGCTCTCAAAGATGAGATGTTAACCCAGTAAAAGAGCTGGGCTAGGAAAAGACAAACAAGAGGATGCAGCAAAGAGCCCTGTAACCAAATGATTATAGCAATAGTAGTAATATTAGCACTATAGTGAGTTGATGCAAAGCACAGATAATTGAGTAAAGATATTCATAAGTGCTCTGGGCGATATAATGTGTTACCCCCATCCTATATCCAAGGACATTCATTAATCTAACAGGCTGAGTGAATTTCATAAGTAGCAAAGCCAGCAGTTCTGGATCCAAATCCTTACTCTACTAGGAGTTAGAATCAAATGAGATGTGTATAATGTTCTTAGACCATTTCTAGCACATAGTATGTGCTCAATAAATGTTAGTGATTTCTAAGTCCTTTTCAATTCATGTCAGTTCTCAATTACTGTCAATGAATTGTTGTTAGCAGTACCTAAAAACCATTTTGGGTCAGGGAGGAGTTGGTGTGGGGGATGAGAGCAGTGGAGAAAGCCGAATCAAGAATAGCCTCAAGGGCCAGACTAGAGTTTGAACCTGGTTCTGTAGACACAGGACAACACAGGTTTCTAAGCATGGGCCTCAAAAATAAAATTAATTTACCCTCACAGGAGACAGCTCCCAAGGAGATGAGAAAGGGCCATGTGATCTGCTCAGAGTCCACTCTCCTTCCTGAGGAGGAGGCTAGCCAGAGTTATCAGAGCCAGATTAAGCCTTGACTGCAAAAGGCTGGAGGGTAAAAAGAAAAAAGAATTTCCATCCAGCAGGAGAAATTGTTTGGAGACTTTAATATGTCTTCAAGCTACTGTTTTAATACATAAGGGAATTTCATTTTCACAGATAGAAATTGTGAGTCTCCTTTCCAAAAACAAAACAAAAAATATATATGACTTCAAGGCCTGAGTTTTTTCCATGTGTATGACAAGGTTATTGAACTAAAAAGTGGTGTTAGGAGGTCTCATCTGTCTTGAAGGCCTCACCGGCTTATGGAGGTGGTGACTACAAAAATAAGAAATTACAATCCGTACTGCTTTGTGCTGAGATAGACTTGTCTATATATCCATAGGGAAGGAGGGCTCAGATTAGGGGATGTCTTTTAACCCTGCCTTGAATGGGGGCAAATAAGGCTTTCTGGAAGAGGTGAGAACTGGAGGACCAGTCTGGCAAAGGGGAGAAGGCTGTTCCAGGCAGAGAACAACATGGGCAAAGACTCAGAGTAAGCAGTCACCAATTCCAGTAATAAACAGAAAAGGAGAGAAGGCAGAAAGGAGGGAGGGAAAGGAAGTTGAAAAAAAGTAGAAAGGAAGGAGGCAAGAAAGGTAGGTAAACTGTACCACAAGCTATAAAAGGCAGCAGGTAATTTCAGGATATACACACAATACACACAAACCAGTAAGACCAATGGCTTCACAGAACAGAATCCAACTCATAACTCCTTTGTCACTGGCTGTGTGGCCTTGGGTATGTTATGGGACTCTCAGAGCCTCGGTTCTCTTACCTATGATCGTGGTAATCACCACCTTCCTTCAGGATTGCTGGGAGGATTTCTAACAGAAAATAATAAAACAGCTGCTTTATTATATCAGCACTCACTCCCTGTAAGCACTCTTCATGTGCTTCAGTTATCTGATCCACATATCAACCTTAGGTTGATATTATCCCTGTTTCACAGCAGGGTAAACCGAGGTACAGCCAAGGTCACAAGTTAGGAGAGAGTGAAGCCAGGACAGGCGTCCAGTCTGCTGCAGAGGGGAATCACGGACCAAGCACAGGCCTGGAATGGAGGATCACTCAAGAAGCAGTGGCTGGAAAACCAGAGGGACTGAGGTAGAGCGGGAGACCCTCTCTGTCTAGAGCTGAATACCCATCAATTAGCCATGGAGCTGTCCAGAGGCCAGTCCTTGCACCACTAGGAAAGATAACTTCCACGAGGTCTCTGAGGTGCCAGATGCCAAAGCCACCCCCATTCACTCACCCTAACAAGGAGCAAGGGGACCCCAACATGTGGGAGGTGGGGATAGACACATTTCAACACCAGATGCTGTTGCTGTAGTTAGCATCAGTCAGCCTAGCTCCCATGCAACACCTAGGTGAATATTAGCTGTCCTTCCTTTTTAAGACCTTTCCGATATATTAATACTGGCTGTTATCACTCCCAACACCAAGTCATTAACACTGCAGTGACTGATTTTGGTCATCACAATACACGTGAGGGCTTACTGCATGCCAGGCACGAGGCAAAGCAATTTAGCCAGATCACACTCTTGAACATTCACAGCAGCCCTAGGAGTGGGTAGGATTTATAGTCTGCAACTTTTAGAGATGAAAAATTCCAATAGTCATCTACCCAAAGTGACACAAGCAGCAGACCCCAGATACAGCCCCAGGCACCTGGAAGGCGGCTTCAGAAAAGGCCTACTTGTAGTGCAAATCCCAACCCCTTCCCCAAGATCTGCGTGTCCATCACATTCTCCCCTGGGCTGCTGAGCCTGGGATTGCTAAGTACAAGCCTGGCCCCTTTCTTAAGAGAAAAGAGAACTGCTCCCATAGCACTTCTAAGGTCTGCCCCGGCATGCCCCACAAGCAGCCCAGGACAACCAAAGGCCCCTCACCTGGAGGGCCAGTCCATCTCCTCTCTTGGGTTTTCGAGGCCGAGGCTGTTTATTTTGCTTCATCCTGTACTGGCATTTGGTGCAGCACTGAACACAAGCTGGCTTCGCAGGGCAGCCAAGGCCCCCTGGGGCCTGAACACCTGCGCAGAGCTACAGCCTGGCTTGCTAATTGCCAATTGCCTCACCATGGCGACTTGCACCTGGGCTGTTCTAGCCCAGCAGCACCTAAAAACAGTTGGCTTCTCATTCGCCACTCCCAACTCTGGGCGAGACCCTTCATGAACCTGACCCTAAGGCACACAACCCTAAGCATGGAGGTGGCCATGATTGTAACCTATCTTGTGTGAAGAAACTGAGGCTCAGAGAGGTGCCAAGGCCAACCCCTGCTCACACCTTTCACCCTCTGCACGCGCCAGCTGACATTAACCTCTGGAGCAGTATTGAAATCTTCATTGGCTCCTTTTCACTGACCTAGAAGCTAGCTATAGAGAGATATGATTTTGGCATGATGGGTTCTGGGCTTAGGGCACCTGGCTGGGTGGCCCCAGGTAAACAAGATGGAACTACTGAAGAGAGCTGCAAAGTTTAGAAGAGCAACAAACACAATCCACCCAAAGAGCTGGGGGCATGGGCAGCCACGTTAGAATCAACCATGGCCCACTCCCAACCAGTCCTCTCGCTGAGGCCGAGTCCCCTTGCTGCAATGGCTGAACTGTGACATGGCAACTTGGAAGTAGAATTGGAGAATCAGCCCTAGGATTTTTGAGTTGTTAATCATCTTGATCAGCTACCCAAGAATTGTAAGTAATAGTCTTGATATGGCTGTTCTGGACATCAAGCCTTTTAAATGAACTCAAACACTCCAGTTACTTGTTTGGGGAACCAAGGTTTAGAAACCCATTCACTAGCCCAGGTTGGTCCTTGAACCAGTAGCGTGGATTTCACAGGCTCCACTCCAGACTCAGAAACTCTGGGGGTGGGGCCTGGAAATCAAAGTCCACTTAACAAGCCTTTCAGGGGATGCTGATACACCGGAGTTTGCCGGCCTTAAGCTCCATGTCTGCTTGAGATCACCATGGTATTCCTGCGCTGGGCTTGTTCAATGAATGACCTACTTCAACTAGCCACCTTTCCATTTTAACCAGGCCCTCACATGCCTCACACATCTGACCTGCTAGAGAACAAAAGGGACACCAGACTGTTAGAGAAATACTGATTTTAATTCAACGTAAGGTAAACTCTAGGCATGTCATCTTTCAGCCTAAAAATTAGCAAAACCATTGAAAACAAGGCACAATTTCCC